ATATATATGTATATATATATATATATATATATATGCATTACAAAAGATGATTACAAAAGATGACAAAATATGCATTAAATATATACTTTTCCTAAACATACTCCAAACTAATTTAGATCTACTGTAAAGTATATTCTCGACTGAACCTTCACTCCCCACATTTCTCACAGATCATGTGAAAATTATCTTTTGAGGCAGAGACAGAACATTACACATCAGATTTACACCTTTCTAAGCACATCATTTGGGCAGAGTTTGAACCTCTTCTTTTGTTTGGGCCTTAAGCTGTCTTTTGCTGTGGCCTTTCTCTACTCATCTACTGCATGTGAAATCACATACTGTCTGAGTATGTTGTACATTTGAGAACTTCATGGCTGTTAAAACAAGTATACATGTGTACAGTATGAGTAAAATATCATCAAGCATGAATGTGATTAGTATGGATGCAATCTGAATGTACTACATCCGCCGCAATTTTAGCATTATCATGTGAGCTGTGGAGTGTGGAGTGAACTTCGGAATCTTTGCAGAAGTAGTAGGTCGTCCGGGTACGTTTTCTGCCTATTGTTTTATGAATACTGTGAATTCAGACATTCTTCACATACCATTTTCATATAATAATTTCAGCTACCATATAGTAGGGAGATTGAAAAGCTTATTTTACAGATTCCTAATAATAATCATACTTAAATGATTTCAAGAAAATGTTGGCAAATGGAAAACTCAAACTATTTAATGTGTGCATGGTAAAGGGGAATGAATTAGCATTGGCATCATGGTTGTTTAGTTGTAAAGTTAAGTTCAGAAAGCTGACTGTTTATTCAGCAAGGAACCATTTTACAGTATATTACTTTATTCATATGCCTTATACAACATATAAATATGTTTTAAGGTAAAAGGGAAGTCAGTTAAAATGAATCTGTATTGTTATGTGGCTTGAGTTTTTGTTAAAACATAACTACATTTTCCTGCATTATTTTCTATGTATGTTGTTACAAATACCTTAATAAACAAATTAATAAATGATAACAATAACTGCAATTGTAAACATGTGTTGTTTTCTCTCATAATTTCAGAGGAATTTATGCCATCTTCCACAGCATTTCTGTATTTAAACTGTAACACAAATACCCCTTAAACTTGTATGCGCATGTTTTCTATTATTTTTACAATATCAGTAAATAAACCGAGTTGAGGGATGGATGAGACTTGAAATGTCCATTTTATTGAGGAAGTTAAGAGGGGAATGTTGGGAAGCTGAGGAAAAATAGTGATCAATTACCAGCAGCTGCCAATGTTACAGCAACATTCACAGTCCACGTGGAGTCATTGGGTTAAAACTGTTAAAAACCTGATATTGAATTACACAATTACACAGCTGTAGAAGGTCACTGAAAATACACTTTATAGGAAATGGACATGTGAGCAATTGTTAGGTATATATTTGTTTTTGAATTTTAATTTGTGGCCGAAACAATGGACTTATGCTCATATTTCCATGGCTTTTTAATTTCTACCCGTTAAGGATATTTGTCCTCTGAACTGGTTTGTGCATAAAGAGAAATACGCTAGACTGTCAGATGTGACAGCAGCTTCCATCTTTTCATGTCTTTAAATGTTGGCTCTTATTGCCTTGAAAACTTTTGGTGAGCGTGATTTCACCAAGTACAACATGTTCCTGGATCAACATCCTTGTTGATCCTGGAACAACATTCCAATCAACCAATCAGAATTGAGATATAACTTTTCAGGAAATATCTGTTTTAGGCTTATGATCAGGGTTAGGTGCTTCTACACCCTTGTTAATCAGCTATCATTTCACACTGATTTTAGGAATAAATTATGGGTAGGGTTAGGTTTAGGGGTAGGGATTGGGTTTAGTCTATATTTTTGGACAGTAATGTTGATCCAGGATGAGCAAAAGATGTAAATCCAGGAACATGTCATACTTGGCAAAATCACGGCGACCAAAACTTTTATAAAAAATTGTGGTCAGATGTAGGTTTGAGAATCAAAAATTGAATCAAATCCTGGAATCTAATATTTAAATCATATATTGATTCATGTGTGCACATTTTCATGTGATTTTGAACCAGGGCTGGTCTTAGACTTCTGGTGGCCCTAACCCAAAACTTTGTCTGGGGGATTTTGGCAGTGTGTTAAAAATAAATAAATAAATAATCCCTTAATCTGAAAAAAATAATCCCTTAATCTGTTCTTTCAGATGCTGTGCATAGTCTGTTCATAGTCTTCACTGTATGAATTAAATATACATTGATTCTTATCAAAGTTACTAACGTTATTCAGTGAAGAGCAATGAATGATTCTCTCATTTTATTAATGACAGAAACAGCAGTAGGTTTATTAGGCTGCTGTCACTTTAAGACCAAATGCACAGACAAGCATTTGATTACTTTCCCAACTGTTTATGTTCACTTAAGACATAACTGACTTTGTTCAAGTGAAAACTCTCCAAGACATATGTGTGTGTGTGTGTGTGTGTGTGTGTGTTTGTGTGTGTATTTGTGTAGTTTAAATGCATGTCTGAAGCCCAAAGTAGCCTATACTTGTCCATGTTTCACTCCGTCTCGGTCCGACCAAACAGAAATCAACCTGCAGAACAGAGAAATCTTCAAATCAGTTGTAAAAACATAAAATACCTTTTTTCGGTTGGTCAGGATCTGTGAAGGATCACACCTGGCCGGTGAAGAGAAAACATTCTCAGCAGACGCTGAGGGAGACACACCCCTCATAATCATTCTTCTCATAATATAAGAGACTGCTGTGAAACTGAGACTATTCTAGCAATCGCACGGAGACCTTTACAGTGATACTAAACATGAAATTGTTAAAATCATAGATATCTTAAGATATAATAACCACTGTCACAGATTAA